AGGCAAGTGTAAAATAAAAAGAAAAGTAGATAGTAACTAAAACTATAAATATACAAAGATGGTGGTGAACAGACTGCAGTTTATATTACCATTTTAAAATATTGGGCAGAAGTTTTTCAGCTTAAGAAAACTGCATTTATTTAAGGCTTAACAATATTAAGCTCATGCTGCAATGTTAGCATTGGCTTTAATTAAAAAAGTATTTTGCTAATTGGCATAAAATATCTATGTGATTATTTTTCCATATATTTTAAGCTTTGCAATGAGAGAACAGCTGCTAAATATTTTCTTGCATGCTGATTCTACTTAATCAACATTCTTCTTCTTAATGAAGGTGACAAAGTTGGAAATTGTGTTTTCCAAATGGATTGCTTAAAAATATCAGCATGAAGACAATGAAATTCACTTTTGGGTGCTGATATTCAGATTTAACCCTGAATTACAAATTAATTCTAAATTTAACCCCAAATTTAAGATGTCAGATAAATCTTAATTAGGATACAACATTGAAATCAGCATACAGCACTTCAGGGACTCTGACTTTTTCTTAAAATTCACATTCAGTTATTATTTTAGTTATTTGAAATGTGCTGATGTCATATTGATAGGTTTAGAACTTTGGCAACATATTGAATCAAATTAAAAACGTTGTCTTCTTTCTCTTTCCTGCTTTCATCCCCGCCCTTTATTGTAGTAATCAACTTCTATGGAAGATACCTGTGTGCTTGAGACATGAAATATATATTTGCACAAATTAAAATTTCAGCGTAACTTAGCTTTTTAATGTAATTTTCCCTTTGAACATATTCCAACTGCTCTGCTGAAACTAGGCTTCTGTTTTTAGATTGAAAAATGTTGACTTTCTGCATATTTGTAAGGCATTCAATCTGGATATCATAAATTTGTATTTTGCCATACAACTTATCTAAAGTTGCCAAAACCCAACAGCATTCCAGGTAAAATACAATGCATGACCTTTAAAGATTTTATTAAAAAAAAACCTGGCATGAGTTCTGAGACAAAATCTGCTTTATAATCATTATATACATATATAATAATTTTGTACATTTGTAAATCTAGTACTTCATCTCCCTTTCCATAGTAATTTGCAATTTTAAAAATATTCAGACAAACTTTGGTTTTTGAATATGCCTACTCTAAATATACTGTAAATGGATCTACACACAAGTATTGAATTATACCTACTTTAGTTCAAAGCATGAATTTCTAATTGAATGTTATTCTTAAAACATGCATTTTGAAATAAATGTTCTACTTTTTATATCCAAAGTTGCATCACAAAGTTGGATTTCAGGGTTTAGTGATTATGGTATTAGAGCAGGGTCCCCAACCCCCCCAGTCCATGGACCAGCACTGGTCCCTGGCATACCAGAAACTGGGCCATGCAAACAAGCAAAGCTCCATTTGCAGGATGCAGGCAGCATGTGAAACCATGCCCCCTCCGGTCCCAGAAAAACTTCTCTTCATGGAATCAGTCCCTGGTGCCCAAATTATTGGGGGACACTGTCTTAGAGAAAAGATTTCCTAAAATTTTACCAGCAAATGGCTAGCATCTTCAGAGGCAAGGTGGTCTTGGTGTGCAGGATCCCAGATGGCATACCAACTCCCATTATCTGAGGAACTGTCTCATCTAAGTGGGGTTGGGCTACCCCACCCACACCAGCAGAAGGGCTATGCTGTGGGCTTTGTTGGTCAAGAAATTTTGACTGGAGGAGTCAGGACAAGAGCCTTTTTCTGCAATGGCTCCCACCCGCTGGAACATTGCATCCTCCCCCATGGTGAGATCCATACCCTTCTGGCCTTTGGAAAGAGCGTGAGGCTCTGATATGATTGTTTCATACTTGAAGTGGCAAATGGTTAAGACCCTCCCTCCTTCCCATGTGCATCTTGCTTCCTTTGTCTCCATTTCTTAAAATTTTAAGTTAGTTTAATTTGAGTGTTAATATTTATTGTTTTAAGCTTTTGCCTTGTTTTTATGGTTATAAGCCACCTAGAGTCACCTCTAGGTGAGATGGACAGCATATAAGTTGTTAATAAACAAACACTGCCTGGGGGAGTGTGACCTCATTCAGAGTTAATAATGAAAAATAACTAGATTAAGGGGCCCCTGAAAGCCACAACCACACAGTCTTGTCCTGTTTGAGCTGAAACCATTGGTGGGATTCAAATATGTGAACAACCGGTTCTCTTGTGTGGATGCTGCTTCCAGAAGTCCATTCTGGGCCTGGGCAACAAAAAAATAGCTACCAAGTCTGCCAAAGTGGTACCAACTGGCTGAATTCCACCACTGGCTAAAATTGATTCTGAGCAATCCAGACCAATCCAGCTTGATGGTATATCCCTCGATGGCCCAGGAAACTGAATATAATAATACTTGACCTCGCGCTTATCTCATTCAATAGCTTCAAACAGATATTAAACAGAAGCAGGGCTAGTATAGTTATGTAGCACTCTGCAAAGCAGAGGCTTAGGACCAGACCTATTCCTCCCTAAAAACACTAACTAAAAGTAGCCTTGGGGGAAGGAAGAGAACTACTGAAGAACAGTGTTTTCTCCATTCCTAACCCCCTCGGTCAGTCCACAATTATACATTGAACAATGGTACTTAAAGCTGTCAAGAGATCAATGATGAACAATGATGATCAATGATCGATGTATTACTCCCTTTCCCCGACCCACCAGATGTACAAATGTGATCATTGCCATCTTGATTCCATAACCCAGACTGAAAACCAGCCACAAGCATGTCCAAATAATCTACTTTGTCCAGAACACTATGGAGCTGCAAGCCTATCATTTCATCAACAGCCTTGCCAAAAAAGAAGGATGGAAACTGGACAAAAATTGTTCAAAACTGTTGGGTCAAGAAATGGTCTTTTGAGGAGAGCGAATTTGGAGGGTCTTCCTTGACCAATTCTTCTGAAGGATCAGGTGGCAGCTGTGACTAAGAGGTTCTTCATACAAATTCTGCTAATGTGTCAATCACATCTGTACTTGGAATGGCAATTTTTTTCGATAGGCACTTGTGTTTTAGTCACCTCACATATGGATTATTGCAACTAGTTGGGGCTATCCTTGGAAAACATATATAAACTGTGCAATGGCCCAAAATGTTATGGCAAAGTCAGTTATGGGTATGCCATGGCATGCTCATGTAACATAACTGTTTTGTGAACCTGCACTAGTAATCAGTAAGCTTCTTTGTGCAACTCATGGTGATAACCTATAAAATCATTCATCAACTAGAGCCTGGTTATTTAAGGAACTGTCTGTATTCTGTAGTTTATGCCCATTCTGTATAATTGGGAAGAGATGGCATATTCCAGGTCCCATTGATTAAACAATATCATCTTTTGAAACCTAGCAAACAGGCTTTTTTGGTTCTGACATCTGCCCTCTAGATAGCATCTGCCAGAGTTTCATGTTAGCTCCATCCAGATCTTTCTTAATAAACTCTTAACACCTGGCTTTTCCTCAGGCTTTGGGCTGGAATAGATGGTGGACTCTTTGATAAATATTTGTCAGAGTCAAATTTTTCTTTGACTACTTTTTTGTACTTATGTTAAATTGTTTTACTTCACACAGAGTTGTAATAGAGTTAGATGGATGTATAAATTTAACTAAATAAACACCAAGTGATAATACTAGAGAAGAAAAAAACAGTGATTCTAAATTATTTGTGAGCAGATATGGCTTAATTCATTATGATTGCCCAAAACTAACTGGTTTGAGGCAGCTTTGTTCTGAAGGACATGTTGCCCAAGGGAGACACATTTTTGTGAGTTTCCTCCATCCACCTCTTGAGGTCAATGAATCTTGCCATTAGCAATCAAGAGGTTGATTTAACTATAAAAGTCAGTTGTCCATGGTAATCCAGTGTGTATTTATATAAATTAATATTTGAGTATGGAGAACTTTCAACACTCAAGGATTTTTGATTCTCAGTTTAATACAGAACAATCTAATTCATACTTCATTAACTAATATATGAATCAGAATGTAATTATACAGTTTTCTTACTCCTCTGAATCTTGCAAAACACTTCTTCAATCAAAACATGTGTACATTAGGGAACATTGTGTATAAAACTGTGCATAGTAGCAAAATTTGCATATATTATGGTAGATGCATATAAAATTATAAAAATGATTGTGTGGATTTAGGAAAAAATATTCTAATACAGAAATGACTTGGTATGAAGCTGTACTTTTATTTTTTTAAAAAAAATAGGAAAAATGAAATAGAATATTCAATTTTAGAATCTCATTTTATGAGAGCTTATACAAGTCCAACTCTTCTTACATTAGGGAACTACTCTGGCTCTTGGTAGAAACCACTATTTCAGTTCTTTCCCAAATCAGAACTCCAATTTCAGAAAAGGGCAGGAAGTAGATCCATAGTCCTTCTGAAGGCCTAATAGGACCCAAACTAGCAATAACAAAGAGAAAGGTGATGATGATGTTGATGAGGAAGAGGAGGAGAAGGAGGACTATATTTGGAAAGGACAGAAGGCAGGGAAGACCAAAATGTCCCTCCTCCATCACTTGGAGGTTTTTAAGAAGACATTGAAAAACCATTTGTCTGAAATGGCATAGGGTTTCCTACCTAAGCAGGCAGCTGTACTAGAAGACCTCCATCTGTCATGGTTCTGACAGACGGAGATGAATAAAATGAGCATGGCTGCAGCCATTTTTCCCACTCATTTTTGGTTGCCACCATCTTTGTTAGTTACTTTTATCCTGACAGCAGAGACTTTTCAGGATATGGAAAGAGTATTTAATTTCTCAGATGTTCCAATGTTCCAATGTTATAACTCTACTATAAGTGATATGTATGATGGCCATATGTTGCATTCCAGATTGACACAGAGAAATTAAAAGGTTGTATCCATTTTGAAATGCAATACAAACCATTTCTAATGTTTATGAAGGGCTGAATAACTCAGTAATACATATTAACAATAAATAGCATTTTGTTACCTTTGTAGTATTCTTTACTTCAAATCTGTAGGACAAAAGAAAACCTAACTATAAAATGCATAGATTTATAAATTCAAGTGATTTTAGCTGTTCACATCAATATTAATATTTTCTACTTATTCTCTTCTTCTTTTGCTAATAATGTCTTTCTTTAGAAGGGGAAACATTCTCAAAGGTCTCTTAGAAAACTAAGTGCTGATAGAAATAAATATCTTTAAGAAGCAAAGCTATTATGTCATCAGCAAAACTTATCATTCTATGGGTTAAACAGTTCTTTTTACTATTACACTCCACTGCTTAATATTATCAAGGCTGACACATCTATAATTTCCCATGTTTTTTCTTGGTTCTTTTTAAAATATTAGTGTGGCATAGGCTAACTTTCTTATGGTTATGGAAAACTTAATGTGATGTCCTTCACTGTGCCCATGAAAGAAATCATAAGCATGTGTAAGGATTTATAGAAGTAAAACTTCCTCTGAATGTCAATGTGTTTCATGAATATGGAAGATAATTTACTGTGAATATGGAAAAGATAAGGAAGTGATGATAAAATTGTAGGTGTGGGAGGTCAAATATTAACTGTTGTTAGTCTTTCTCCTGCTTTGATCTTACTATAGCATGATCCACAGGACAGTTAGATCTGACTACCTTTGCACAAAACTGTTACTCATTTTGATCCACACATGTTTGCCCTAAGGTCTTGTTTACTACTCTGTATAATTATTAAAAGACTCTTACCATTGTAGTTGAAGTTCAGAGCTGACATCCATGTCAGTTGTGTGGCATAGCATTATGTCTAATTTTTCCTTTGTTCCTCTTGTTTAATGTTCCAAAGAATAAAACTCAAAGGAAGTACTCAGTCATATTTCCCCTTACCATTACCAGATACATGCTCCACCTCTTCCTGCTAGAACCACTAATTTATTTTTAAAAATATAGAAGTGAAAAATGGATTGGCATATTCTGATATAAAGTGAATAAACATTTCATTTTCAAGACTGTCTCTTGAGACAGAGTAACTTGGAATTACTTCGTTATTAACATTAAATAATTCCATTATAAATATATTTAACTTCCAGCTTAACAAAATCATATGTATAAGAACAAGATACTGACAAGCCATAATATATTTAAAATATACTGTAGCTTGCAACATTTAGCAACTGCTTTTCAGTGGTATGTGTTCTTCACATTGATCCAGTATTGCAAATTCTATTGGAGATGGAAGTATGAAGAAGTACTAAATGTTATAGCAAAGGAAAGGCTATCCCAAGAAAGAGCAACTTCAAGCCCACATGGAAACCACAATCAGCTACGACTTGGGCAAATGAAGAAAATGCACCTCTAAAGCACCTTTCTGTTTTAAGGCAGTAAAAACAAATGTAGCCTTTAGAAAATTGCAGGCAATCCCTCAAAATTTCCTCTGGTAGATCTGAGTAAAGAACAGCCCAAAAAAGAAAGAAAGAAAGAAAGAAAGAAAGAAAGAAAGAAAGAAAGAAAGAAAGAAAGAAAGAAAGAAAGAAAGATATCAGTACACCCACCAATGCTCTCTCTCTCTATTTCCTTTGGAGACTTAAAGACTATGTTATGATGAAGATATTTCTGCCACATGCAAAATTAAATCAAGTCATTTCAGGATAAAATTCTGCAGCTACCAATAAGCCCTCCAGATATAGGACCTCTTCATCACAGTTTCACTTGGAAACTTTAAGACTGAGTGTGGTGCTCTTGGGCATCAATGTGCCCATGGACACCTACTTAAAGCACACTAGGGCCACTATCTCCACTTCACTTGATTTTTTTTTAATCAATACTTTAATTTGAGTAAAAAGAAAGGAGCAGGCTGCAAAACAAAATGGCAGCCTCTGGTATTATTTCTATTCACAGTAATGACTGTTGTGTCCCGATTGTTTCATTTTTACCTTCTATAATTTAGAACAGGGCTTTTCAACCTTTTCACCCATTGTACCACTTTTAGGATATGGCAATATCCGAGTACCATCTGTCGCCTAGCAAAAACTTGATGACCAAAAAAAAAAAAAAGAAAAAGAAAAAAGTGATAAAGTACAGGTAGTCCTCGACTTACAACAGTTCACTTAGTGACTGTTCAAAGTTACAACAGCACTGAAAAAAGTGACTTATGACCATTTTTCACACTTATGACTGTTTCAGCATTCCCAGGGTCATGTGATTTACATTTGGATGCTTGGCAACTGATTCATATTTATGATGGCTGCAGTGTCTGAAGGTCATGTGATCCCCTTTTGCAAACTTTTGACAAGCAAAGTCAATGGGGAAACCAGATTCACTTAACAACCTTTTATATCAGGGGTGTCAAACTCAATTTCATTGAGGACTGCATTAGCATTGTGGTTACCATCATGGGGAGGGGGTTCCTTCCTTCTTTTTTCCCTCCCTCCCTGCCTTCCTCCTTCTCATTCCTATCCTCCTTCCTTCCTTCCTTCCTTCCTTCCTTCCTTCCTTCCTTCCTTCCTTCCTTCCTCCCTCCATCCTTCTTTCCCTCATTCTCATTCCCATCTCCTTCCTTCCTTCCTTTCTTCTTTCCTTCCTTCCCTCATTTCCCTGCCTCTCATTCCCATCTCCTTCCTTCCTTCCTCCCTCCCTCCCTCCCTCCCTCCCTCCCTTCCTTCCTTCCTTCCTTCCTTCCTTCCTTCCTTCCTTTCTTCAGGTGCTGATCCTGATGCTTCTGCTGAGCCCTGACAGCTGATCGGCTCTTCTGCAGGGGTGTCAGGGCTCAGCAGAAGTGCCAGGATCAGTGCCAGGCTTCAGCTGATCAGTGCTTCTACAGGACTCAGCAGAAGCACCAGGATCAGCACCGGGTTCTAACCACCCCCAAGGCTGCCGCCAATCAGCTGGAGCTGTGTGCGCTGATCCTGGACTCTCAGCAGAACCCAGGCAAACCTCACGCAGAATCTGTGGGGAACCCCCAAGGCTGCCACCAATCATCTGGAGCTGTGTGTGCTGATCCTGGGCTCTTGGCGATACCTCATACATCTCCAGCTGACTCTCCCACAGTCTTGTGCTACACTGCCACTGCTTCATCTCATCCACTTTTACACTTTTTTACAGTGCTTTTTCAACCCATCGTATACATACCACTTGCCAGGTGCCCATGTACCACCAGTGGTTCATGTACCACCGGTTGAAAAGCCCTGATTTAGAAGATAAAAATGGCAGATGTTCAGTGTCTTGTTTGAAGAGTGGTTATCTACCAAAATAATGGGGAAGTGATAGGTAGCATTCTGGGAACTTCGAGAGAATGGGAAAAACTAGCCTCCTAAGTTTACCTTTCATAAACTGCTCTGCCAAAGGCATAGGTTTAGAAATTGCATCAGAATTGGGGAAAGAGAAGTTTCTTGCAGTAGGCAGCAAGAACTGTAGATGCAGTTTCCTTCATGTATCATGTATTATTTTTGAGAAGCTGGTTGCTGGTTATATTTTGTAAATACTTGATTTTGCTTTTTGTGTTCTAATATGTGATAATTACTCAGTGTCGGCAAGAGTGAAAAGAGACAAGAGAGATGGGTAGCAAACAAATTTAAATAAATAAAAAAATAAATAAAAATAGCCCATTACAGCCCAAGCACCAGCACCTGATAAATTTGTTCAAATATGTAATGAAGAACTATCAGCCAAGATCAGAAATTGGTAAAAAAGATCTTACAGATGGGGCTTGTATACCCTTATATATTTAGGGTGATCCCTTCAAAGCAGCATACAAACATTAAAAAGATAAGAAGAAACTTTCAGAATCAAACAAAACTGTTTTCCAGACAGAAAATACTGCACAGTAATGTGTGAATGGTAGCTGCTGAGCTTTCTAGAAATATTTTGTTGGCTACCATTATCCTGATCGGCTTGATTCGGGAGAACCCTTTTTAAACTACATTCTGGAGCATTGAATTTAGTGCATTTATTAACTACTCAGAGAAACATTCTTCTCTCTTCCCCACTTTCTACCCTGTCCTTAGATTCTGCCATCAATGTTCAAATGCACAAATGTTACCTTGAGAAAAATGAGTTGACCCTTCATTATTCTTGCAATTAGGAGACTGGGCTGAAAGGAATGCTACTGTTTTGCTCCTTTACACAGAAGTTATCTAAATCAGCCTTTTCATTTTTTATTTTTATTTATTGCTTGCAGTTAAATTTTAATGCATGTAGAAAAATAAAGCTGGGTCAGCCAACTAAAATCTGTAGCACAATCATCAGTGTTGACAGCAAACTGTGTTCTTAGCAAAATGACAATATATGTGCAATGATACCATTATGCAAATATAGAATTAATCTGAATTAACTGAAGAGTTAATCTGAAGCAAGGATGTAAAATGCAACTTCATAGTCACACTTGTCATTTTTCCCTTCCCTACACTCCTGTACACGAGTACTTCATAAGCACAATTTAGCTAATAAAGCGGATTAAACAATCCAGAAAAGAGATGCACTAAAGCTTTCTAGTCAAGAAGCAACAGTGAGAACTGGACACGGAACCACTGATTGGTTCAAAATTGGAAAAGGAGTCCGGCAAGGCTGTATACTGTCGCCCTGCCTATTTAACTTATATGCAGAGCACATCATGAGAAAGGCAGGGCTAGATGAATCAAAAGTTGGAATTAAGATTGCCGGGAGAAATATCAACAACCTAAGATATGCAGATGATACCACTCTAATGGCAGAAAGTGAAGAGGAACTAAAGAGCCTCTTGATGCGGGTGAAGAAGGAGAGTGCAAAAGTTGGCTTGAAACTCAACATTAAGAAAACCAAAATCATGGCATCCGGCCCTCTCAATTCCTGGCAAATAGATGGGGAAGAAATGGAGGTAGTGACAGATTTTATTTTTCTGGGCTCCAAGATCACCTCAGATGGGGACTGCAGCCAAGAAATTAAAAGACGCTTGCTCCTGGGGAGGAAAGCTATGGCAAATCTAGATAGCATACTAAAAAGCAGAGACATCACCCTGCCAACAAAAGTGCGTATAATCCAGGCTATGGTTTTCCCAGTTGCAATGTATGGCTGTGAAAGTTGGACCATAAGAAAGGCTGAGCACCAAAGAATTGAGGCCTTTGAACTATGGTGCTGGAGAAGACTCCTGCGAGTCCCTTGGACTGCAAGGCGTTCAAACCGGTCAGTCCTAGAAGAGAACAACCCCGACTGCTCTTTAGAAGGCCAGATCCTAAAGTTGAAACTCAAATACTTTGGCCACCTAATGAGAAGGAAGGACTCACTGGAGAAGGGCCTAATGCTGGGAAAGATTGAGGGCGATAGAAGAAGGGGATGACAGAGAATGAGATGGCTGGATGGAGTCACTGAAGCAGTAGGTGTGAACTTAAATGGACTCCAGAAGATGGTAGAGGACAGAAAGACCTGGAGGAACATTGTCCATGGGGTCGCGATGGGTCGGACATGACTTCGCAATTAACAACAAGAACAAAAGCTTTCTAATCAGTAATGGAATTGAAAGAGGGCTTTTATTTTAAAGGACAGGAGCTAGGGACATAGTTGTAATGATCACTTTATCATTGCCTTGGTTCCCAGTATATAACTAAAGATACTACTGTTAGGTTCATACACCAGTTTCTCTTCAGATTATATAAATAAATCTTTCACTTCACCTATTAGAAAACAAAAAATCATTGGTGTGCTCTATCTGTAAAATGAGTAAAATGTTTTCCAATATCTTTGAACTTTTATTCATTTTTCAAGTGTGCCTTTCTGTGATAACACATGTCAAATATATTAAGGTTTGAAATGTAATTGGCTCTGCATATAGAGTTCTTATTTTGACCTTGAAG